GCTGCTTATTAACTGGCCTAATGGCAGCATGTAGAGATTGAACAACAGGGGGCCCAGGATTGACCCCTGAGGCACCCCACAGGTCAGGGCCATAGTAGTTGTAGTAGTAGCAGTAGCAGTAGAAATAGAAGTAGAAGTGGTAGTACTAGTTGCAGTAGTAGTAGTAGTAATAGCAGTAATAGTAATAGTAGCAAAAGTAGTAGTAGTAGTAGTTCCAACAGTAGAAGTAGTAGTAGTAGCAGTTGCAGTAGTAGTAGAAGTAGTAGTAGCAGTAATAGTAGCAGTAGTAGTATCAGTAGAAGTAGCAGTAGTAGTTTTAGTAGTAGTAGTAGTTGCAGTAGAAATAGAAGTGGAAGTGGTAGTTGTAGTAGTAGCAGTTGTAGTAGTAGTAATAGCAGTAGTAGTAGCAGTAGTAGTACTCGTTGCAGTACTACTAGTACTTGCAGCAGCAGCAGTACTAGTTGCAGTACTAGTAGCAGTTGCAGTACTAGTAATACTTGCAGTAGTAATAATAGTAGCAATAGTAGTAGCAGTAATAGTTGCAGTACTAGTTGCAGTACTAGCAGTTGCAGTAGTAGTAGTAGTAGTACTTGCAGTAGTAATAATAGTAGCAATAGTAGTAGCAGTAATAGTTGCAGTACTAGCAGTTGCAGTAGTAGTAGTAGTAGTACTTGCAGTAGTAATAATAGTATCAGTAGTAGTTGTTACTGTACATATAGGACTTCTGTTCTCAGAAGCTCAGCGGGGGTCATGGTCTGGGCTTGGATGGGAGACCGCGGGGAAAATCAGGAGCCACAGGGGGGCGCCACTCACAAAAACTGTGGTTGTGTCTTTCGGCAAGACACTTCACTCACATTGCCTGGTATGAAATGGAGTGTGCGTGAGTGTTGGTGGTGGTCGGAGGGACCGATGGTGCAGATTGGCAGCCTCGCTTCTGTCAGTCTGTCCCAGGGCAGCTGTGGCTACAATAGGGGTTTACCACCTCTGGGTACTGAGTGACTAAATAATGCTTTGTAAAGTGTTTTTGAGTGTCCAGAAAATTCTGTACAGATGTGGTAGTAGCAGTAGTATTTGTAGGAGTAGTAGGTGTAGTAGTAGTTGTTGAAGTAGTAGTAGTAATAGCAGTAGCAGTAATAGTAATAGTAGTACTAGTAGTAGTAGCAGTAGTAGTATTAGTAGCAGTAGTAGTAGTAGTAGTAGTTGTACTAGTAGTAGAAGTAGTAGTAGTAGTAATAGCAGTAGCAGTAATAGTAATAGTAGTACTAGTAGTAGTAGTAGTAATAGTAGTAGAAGTTGTAGTAGTAGTTGTAGTAATAGTAGTAGTAGTAGCAGTAATAGTAGTAGTAATCGTAGCAGTAATAGTAGTAGTAGTAGTAGTCGTAGTAGTAGTAGTAGTAGTACTAGTAGCAGTGGTAGTAGTAGCAGTAGTAGCAATAATAGTAGTAGTAATAGCAGTAGTAGTAGTTGTTGTAATAGTCGTAGTAGTAGTAGTTGTACTAGTACTAGCAGTTGCAGTAGTAGTAGTAGCAGTAGTAGTAGTAGCAGTAGTAGTAGCAGTAGAAGTAGAAGTACCAGTAGTAGTAGTAGTAGCAGTAGTAGTAGTAGCAGTTGCAGTAGTAGCAGTAGTAGTTGTAGTAGTAGTAGCAGTAATAGTAGTAGTAGTAGTAGTAGTAGTAGTAGTAGTAGTAGTAGTAGTACTAGTAGCAGTAGCAGCAGTACTAGTAGTAGTAGTAGTTATTGTAGTAGTAGTAGTTGCAGTAGCAGTAGTAGTATTAGTAGTGGTAGTAGTAGTAGCAGTTGCAGTAGCAGTAGTAGTATTAGTAGCAATAGTAGTAGTAGTAGTAGTAGTAGTAGTATTAGTAGTGGTAGTAGTAGTAGCACTAGTACTAGCAGTTGCAGTAGTAGCAGTAGTATTAGTAGTAGTAGTATTTGTTCAGTACATATAGCAGTTGTGTAGATGTGGGTGTGTCTGGGGCTGAAGGAATTTAAAATAACGAAGCATGAAGTGAAACAAAACACATTTTAAAGTCATGTTGACCTCCAGAGCGTGAAGAAGCCAGAGCAGAAGATTATAAGAAACAAACAAACAAACACCGACGGAAAAGAAACCAAAACAACGTCACGCAACATAAAGGACCAGGATTTACTCTCGCTCGTGAAATCATGTGCATCAAATATTTACACGACACATGTCCATCATGTACATTTGTGCGTGAACATTTCCTGGTGTGAGGTGTGATTCTAATCTCCCTCATCACATCTCAGAAACTAAACGAGACTCAGTGACCGTCGCTGATCTGAAAGTTTGTTTGTTTTTGTTTTTGTTTTTATTCAGAGCCCCATTAGTCACTGAAAGACAGAAACTAATCTTCCAGGTCAGGCTATAAAAACAAACAAACAGACACAAGCTTCCCACACTTTTTCACTGACAAAATTTCAAAACTTTTTTTTTTTTTTTCACAATCTAAAGTGAATTTTCCATGACTTTACAGCACCTACATGTGTGAAATTGATCAGACTTTTAGGGCTAAATATGAAATGTGAACTCTTTCCACTCACCTTATGGTTTGGGATTATAGTTTTTTAACATTCAAAATCCTGTCAGTGTTTTTATTGTCGTCTCTTTAAAAAAAAAAAAAAGGCGCAGACGTTCAGAAATAATCATAACAGCTTCATGAGAACTTAACGCTATAGGTGAGTTTCATTGTTGACAAAAGCGCGCGTTGCATGCTGGGAATTATTTTGGTCGGCGGCAAAAAACACTAATTCAACATGACGGACGGAGCGAGAAAGCACGTAAAAGGTATTGATCCCGGTTATTTATCCACTCTAACGGCAGAGGACCCAAGACCATTTGACCAGAAATTGGTCATAAGCATCGATGGACGACAAATCACCCTTTTCAACCCCGACAAAAGGTGGACCAAACCAAATTTCTGGTCTGAATCGCCAACTACCTGGACAAATATTCACTTGGGCGATATCCACAATGACTTGGTGGAAACTCCTGGGCCATTCACAGCAGAAAAGATGAAAACCTCCAAGAGTCTCGATGTGTTGTTGAACTTGTTGGAGTCCACGGTTTGTTAGGATCTTCTACGTTTGCTCTGCGGATGTTTGAAAGCCGTTTAATTCACCGTTAGTGGTTCTTTTCACTCAGAATACGAAAAAGACATTGTCCTTCTTCCGTGCTTCTATTTGTGCATCAGATAATGCAGCAGGAATTTACCATTATCGGGGATAAATACGCGAGGTTACGCACTGTGTTTGACGCTATCGTGTTTCTTGTCTCGGACCAAAATATTTCCCAGCAGCAACGCGGGCTTTTAATAACAATGACGTCAGCTGAAACTTGCCTATACTTGTGTGAAAGAGATACTAAAATTCTTGCCAAGCTGAGGCCATCTAGTGCCTCCGCTCAATTTAATTTCTCTCCAGCGACTAGATCAGAAATCGGAATACACTAGACCGGGGGTGGGCAAACTAAGTCCCGGGGGCTTTTTAATCTGGCCCCTCAAACTTTAATAATAATGTCAGTGTTTTAAAAGTCATTTCAATAAACAGCAAATACCGTGGGACTTGAAAGACCAATATTTTCTTGTAATGCTTTGTAATGATTTTCAGTTATGGGATATTTCACTAACATGGGATATTTTTTTCTCGAATGAGGTGGATTACCAAAAAAAAAAACTCCAACCATCTGCTCCTGGTCCGGCCCTTCTGTCAAATTTTAGAACCTTTTGTGGCCCACGAGTCAAAAAGTTTGCCCACCCCTGCACTAGACGGTTCACAAAAACCCCGGAAGTGCAAGTCCGGACAATAGTCAATCAGCGAAGAGCCAGACATTCTGTGTTGGCAACGATTCCCAAGATCGAGGATTTAAGGCCGGAATAAAGAGACTATTTGGTGAATTTTATCAAGGGGAAAGACGTTATTGTCCTTCTTCCTACAGTATTTGGCACATTACATACGTCACGACCAAATAACAGCGATTGGTTAAATAAAAAAAGTACCCGCCTACTGTCAAACGAATGAATCCTAATGCTGTGAGATCACACGGTTTCCACAAAGTGAAACTGTCTGATGAATCAGGTTACTAAAATTCCATGATTTTCTCAAAACTTTCATTGAATTTACAAAAATTCCATGACTTTTCACACCACAAAAATAACAAAAAATATACAAATAATCACGATAATCAAAATAATAGCTCTACTCAACTCAATTATTCTATTGTTAAGCCTGTTTTTGACTTGGGACTTGACTCGGACTTGAGGTCAAAGACTTGAGACTTGCAAAACAACGACTTGGTGCCACCTCTGGGAAGTGCTACATAAAAGTCTAGTACATTTTATTTATTTATTTATTTATTTTTTTAAAGCTCAGAAATTTTTTTTCATCAAGTACTTATACTGTAGATTCACACTGGACATTGAAGCCAAAATGTAAAAATAATAGGTCAAGATACACTTTAAACATAAATTGGTTGTTGTTAATTGCAAATAACAGTCTAATAATAGCCTACTAGTGAAATATACGATGATAAAATTATCTTAGCAGTGACTCAAGGAGGCCTATATGCTCTCATTACCGTCTAACCAACGAGACAAAAGCCGATTATTCAATTTAATCATGGACGTAACCCGTGGCTCTGGCTTTGTCTTAAATTGAATTATTGCTTTAATAAAAAAACGTAATTGTATTAGTTCTAGAGGCAAACTCAGAACACGTCCTCCCACTTTATTATAGAACTAAAACAGCACATTCTGTTCTGTTCGGCTGAGCTCGTGACCCTGCAGTTACAAAGTCCGCCACTTGGAGTCCTATTTCTTTGTTTTGGTATTTATTAAAATATTAAATCAACGATAAAAATAAATATAATCATCATCAGTCTACTTTAAAACAGCATGTTAGTAATAATATAATTTAATTTCGTTCGTGATTGCGTTGTTTTGTTTTCCCGTGTCGTGTTTTGCGTTGTCAATAAAGTTTTTTTTTTTCAAAGCGGTTGACAGAGGAGCAGTGATGGCGGCGCCCGTGTCCTGGAGGAGGCTGGTGAACTCCGTGTACTCGGTGTCCTCTCCGGCCGTGGCGGGGGTCTTCAGCCGGATCACGGACCGGCTCTTCAAGGCCAGGGACCGGGGAGGCGGGTAAGCTCCGAACCGGGCCCGGGAGCGGCGTGTGCGGGCCGTGTGACCGCGAAATGTCCGGGACAACGCTCCATAAACAAACCCGCGGCACAGTTCGGTGATGCAGCTGCACGATCTGAACCTCTGCGATGTTTCTGCGAATAAAATACAATGACAACGCAATTACGATCATTCTACGCAAAGTTTAGTCTCAATTTTCTATGAATTAGTCGTAAAAAATGCATGTCAGACGTGTAGTAGTTCTGCAAACACATTTGAACTGACTGAGGCAATGTTACATAATCTTACAAATCTCAACATTCCCCACGCCAACATTATTTAAAGCTGCATTGGTAACTTTGCCGGTGGAGCGTTCGTCAAATGCTGTTATGAGATGTTGTTGCTTTGTCTGGAATTTTTCGCAGTATTAGTGGCGTCAAGGAGATCTAACTGGACCAAGTTACAGGTCAGATCTGCGGAGAGGTGAATCCACTCACGGTACTTTTGAGCTATAAAACCACCTGTAAGTGAATAAATGTAAGGTAGAGCTATGGCTGTGCAATTAATAGAATTCTGATCGCGATTTCGTTTGTGCTTCAAAAAAACTCCAAACTCATATATTCGAGTTGAAATCATTTAAAGCTTAACAAAGTTTATTTGGGGATTTTTAAAAATATAAATACGTATATTTATTTATTTATTCAATATTTTACCAGGTAAGTCAGTCGAGAACACCTTCTCATTTACAATGACGACCTGTCCAAGAGGCAGAATAAAACAAAAGCACAAACAGAAAACAGTCACACATAAATTGTAACATGAAACAGTGAATAGAGATATAAGACAGTGAAACATTTGCAGATTAAAGATATAAAGTGTTAAAAACATGTGCAATTATTCTGTAAAATACTCTGGATGGAGTTTATAAGTTGACAGAGAGGTAAAAATGAACTAAGTTTTAAACATTTTTAAATATAGAGATTGTAAAAGAGCTGGATATATTTTATTTTGGACACATTTATGTTTTTCTGCCTTATTTCATATTCAAAATATATTTTATTCATTTTATGTTTTATAAATTGTAAAACGGCTCTAAGGTAGCTCAGGATCTACCAGTAGTTCTCTGCCCCCTTCCAAATAGCTCGCCATGGGATATCTTAATCATACGTATTGTGCTGAATAACTCAAATTTGATTTAATTAAATGCCTATTACCATTGTACATGTGATGCCTATCTTTGTGCACTAATAAATGGATAATAGTTGTGTAAATAGCTCTTATATTTCTTGCGACCACTAAAATGAGTAGCTCTTTGACATTTTTGTTTTGTAAAAGTAGCTCACCAGTGTTCTAGACCCCTGTTGTAGCCTATATTTATTTTTAGTTTGAACATTTTGCGTAAATTATCAATAACCAAGTGTTTTTTAGAGCGAAATGCTGAATAAATGTAGCATGTAACAAAAAATATTTGTTTGAATAATCGTGATTTCAATATTGAGCAAAATAATCTTGAGAATAAATCTTTCCATAATCGAGCAGCTGTAGGTAGAGCAGTTTAATGCCATACTGGAACATTCCAAGCAGAGCAATGACATATCTATAGAAACAAGCAGGTGACAGACCCTCGACCAGAAAAGTTACATAGTGCACTTTTGTTAGGTTTATCTAAACATTGTAAACAAGAAGAAAGACAAGAGATTAATTCAGTTTTACTCGCGAGGAGAACGGGCAGAGAGTGGGCATCAAAACCAACAGTCTCCACACGTTCTGATGACTCAAGGCCGTTCTCCTCTTTTTATTTCATTAGGAGGCCCTAGTTACAGAATGATAATTCTCAAGGGGAAACAGCAAAGACATAATAAGAAACTGGTGCAGCTAAGCATAGTCCAAACACATAAAACATGATTAACAATCAGGAGGTGCCTTAGGTTTGGACAGACACCATCATAACTCTTGCATGTGTGACAGTGGGAGTTGGCTTCATGTGAGGAATCATCTGGAGGGTTCACTAGAGCGACAGGACACTGCACACAGTTGTCAAACACACAGAGGTTATTCAACAAGTGACAAGTGATTGGTACATTATAAATCAAAGAATTGTAGTACATAAATGGTTAACTCATAGGCATAGAATATCACACAAGTATTTAGCAAATATGGGATAATAAAATTATTCTGACAACTTTTAATGCAAATAGTTGTAGAAATGCATGTCTAACATCAAGTAGTAAAAAAATAATAACTTTTTTTTTTATTCAACTCAACCCAAAACATGCTACACAGGTCTCCAGGAAGAACAGTTGACAGCTCAAGTCAGTTAAATACAATCAGTCAATGAACCTGCCCAGGGACGACAGGTGGAAATTGGCACTGGTGATACAACCTGATGTACAAAGCATCTCTCCTGTTAAGTTAATGTAAAAACTGTACACTGTCCCTCTCTCAATAAAAATAAATAAACTAAGGACTAAGTAAAGGTTGCATTAGTAGTGCACGGTCTACAACTTTTGGGTTCTTGTATATTCTGATTCCTGATCTAGTCGCTGGAGAGAAATGAAATTGTCACCTCAATCAAAAACAGACCTGGTGTTTTGTTTTGTTTCATTCACATGTTTGAGTAACTCTTTATAGGGGTGTGCAAAAATATCAAAATATCGATATATCGTATTGTTTAATGTAATGATTCAGTATCGATATCGTGGGCTGCTGTATTGATATATCACCAAGTCTATTTTTTGGTATATTTTACTAAATTATTTTGTTACAGCTACAGTGTTTTTGTTTGTTCAGAGGAAAAAAACTTTTTTATTTATGCCACACATTTGACATTTTTACTGTTTTGATGATTAAAATGTTTGTGTTTCATATGAACTTTGCGCAAGAAGTGGTTTAACAAAGACTTTTAGTGTCACAGCCATGATTTTTTTATTGAACCGTATCGAACTGATTTGAAATATATCGTATCGAACCGAAAAAGCAATGCATCGAGACATGTATCGTATCATGGCCTGTGTATCGAGATATGTATCGTATCGACAGCTTCATAATGATACCCAGCCCTAATTCTTTATTATTAGTCTGTCTACATCTCCAAAGCTCAAAATTCTCTGTTCCATCTTGTGATCTAGCAGTAGTTTATAAGTTAACGCTACATTTGACCTTTTATTCAGTAGACAATGGCAATCCCAGGTCTGGTTTGGAAATAATCCAAATGGAGCACTTCCTGTATTACCACATAACATCAGAAGGTGCAGACACAAACTCTCAGCCTAAATCTGCTGTTTGGTTTGTGTGTTTAAACATGTGTGAATGAAACAAAACAAAACACAACTCCAGGTCTGTTCGTGATGATTAAACAACATTAGAACACAGATCAGAACACGGCGTAACACGGGCCCTGTCATGTCAAGAGTACAAAATACTTGTCTAACTGACTAAGCGAATACGTAATGTTACGTAATGTTCAGACTCCGTGTTCTCTTCACTATCTCTTTATCACAGATGAGATATTGTGTCTGTGATACGCTGCGTTTACCTGACAGAGATGTACAACGTCTGAACTCATTCTCAACATGACAAAGTTTTAAGTCGCCTTGGATCGCCTTAAAAATAATCAAGTTAACGTTGCGATTTTGTCTGCAAGTTGGCGTAAAGCTGCACTCTGTAACCTGCTCGTTTCCATGGAGATGTCACTGCTTTGTTTTGTATTTAAACCTGCGCTTATTCTTATGTTTTATGGCTCAAAGTAGACATTGAAAAACACCGCGCGTTCTTCTTGTAGTTAAAAAAAATGGGCTCGCCTCTCCGCAGATCTGACCTGTAACTCGTAACTACTGGAACGTAAAAGGCAAAGCAGTAGCATCTCCACGGAGACGAGCAGGCGTGTGTTTTTATGAGGGACGTACGTGGGTTCGAGTTTCCTGCCACTGACGCTACCTTGAGGCCATTTGAGAATTTAAAAGGTGTAATATTTCGTTTTTAATTGATAGTAACCGTGGCAACTGTCGTAATGAATCACTCTGAGATCCTGACGGCTGCAAGCCCCAAGCCGTCGTCAGAACTGTCACCAGTTTCGGTTTTGACGTGTCTCGGATCAGCTGTTGTTACAGACGCCGGATCAGGGAGGACATTTAAAGGTGCACTGTGTAACTTTTTCGTTGGGGGTCCGTCACCTTCTTGTTTCTATGGAGATGTCATTGCCCTGTTTGAAATATTCCACAGTGTGACATTAAACAGCTCTACTTTACATATATTCAATTCAATTCAGGTGGTTTATAGCTCAAAAATACCTTAGAAAAACTGACATTCTGACTGTGAGCGAGGTCGCCTCTCCACAGATCTGACCTGTAACAAGGGCTGTGCAAAAAATATTGAAATATCGATATATCGAGCATAGAAAACCAAAAAAATGTGGCTGTTTGCTGCAGGCGTTCCAGTCAGTGGGAGCAGGTAGTGGGTGCTCTTGGAAGAAGGATCAAACCTGAGACCCCGTCCACACTAGTTCGTATTTGAGTCGTTCAGTTGTGTTTGTTCACACTAATCCGAATAAAAATGGCTCCAGAGACAGAACGATCTGGTGCTTCCAGCTCCCATGAATTCATGTTCGTACAGATCTGATTTGGCACTGTGTGGACACCTGAAAACGCTGATACTCTGATGTAGGTCTGTGCACCACAAAGTAATTCACCGCCAAAACACTAAGGCTGCGTTCAGACTGCAGCCTGAAGTGACCCAAATCCGATTTTTTGGCCTCTATGTGACCTGTATCTGATCTTTTAATGACTTTAATGATTTTTTCAAATGCAACCCAGGCCACTTCGAAATGTGGTCCTAAAACTGATACATATCTGATCTTTTGACATGCGACTTCAGTCTGAACGGTCAAAGTGCATTCATCCACCTACACGTTATCAACAAGCCACAAACGTCACTATTCTGCACTGAAGTAGGTGAAAATTGTTAATGAACTCCATGACACTGAAGTGAAGCACATCACCACTCACCACTCTTGGCTCCGTCTC